CCCCGCCTCCGGCGCGCCCCCTGGGTCCAAAGATCCGGCCTTCGGATGCATCTGCCTGACCTGGAGGCGATAGAGGTGGCTGGAGAGGTGGCCAGCATTCCCCAAATCCCCCAACTCTTTCTTGTTACCGGACCCCAGGCCTCAGGGCTTCTGATTAATCACCAGCTACCAAGCCCAGACCTGAAGTGCCAACGAGGGCGAGGCTGGCTGTCCCCAGGGCTGGTGTATGAGAAGCTGAGCTCCTTCAGGGCTGTCAGACCTGATGCTGGAACAGGAGGGAGCCGCGTTCTCTGAATTAACTGCCAGTCATTGACTGGACGTCTCTCCTGCACAAACGTGCCGTTCCACCACCTGTGGCACGGAGTCCTGGGGATTGAGGACATTCCTGGGTCCTTTCTGGACCAGTGAGAGGAGCCGTGATGGCGTAGTGGTCTCCTGTTGGGTTGCAATCCCTATGATCCCACGTTTGGAACTACCAGCTGCTCTGTAGAAAGACGGTGGGACCTTCTGTTCCCACAAAGAGTTACAGTCCCTGAAACTCACAGGGGCAGTTCTAGCCTTGTCCTATATTAAAGGACCTATAGGGTCACTATGAGTCAGAATCCACTCAGTGGCAGTGAGTTTTGGAGTTTGGGGTCTGAGCTGGTGAAGTTGGGTGGGCTTCCTGGAGAATGGGGCCTCGGAGCTGTTTAGCAGGGCAGGTGGGGCAGGAGACATATGCTCCACACACAACACGCTTGTCCCTAGGAAATGGCTGAAGGGGGGAGGTGGAGGTGGAGCTGGAGGGTCAGGGCGGGTAGCTGTGTCATTGACAAATGACAGGTCTGTCCCCTGGGGAAAGAAAGGTGACACTTCTGGGCCTGGTCTGCTGGGGACTTCCCAGTGGAGGACATGGGGCACTCTAGGCCAAGCCCCCTTTCCCAAGATCCCACGTCCAGCTCTCCCCGCATGCTCTCCCCGCATGGCCCTGCTTAACCAAGGGAGGAATAAATGGGGTCAGGCCTGCTGGGCTTCAGGTGGTGTCCAGGGCAGAAGCTGAGCCTAGGCAGGCCTTGACAGGATGAGCAGGGAAGTGTCCCCTCCAGAGGCCAGCCCAAACGCTCCGCTCCGTATTCCTTCCCAACTAGCTGCTGCTGGATGGACGCTGACGCATGGACATTATCGAAGACAACTGCCCTCTTGTGTGTTCTTGTTTTAACCTACAGAAGCTGGTTGCTGGGCCTGGTTTTCAGGGTACTGCTGGGTAGGTTTGGACCCCCAGCCCTTGGGGCTGAGAACAAACCATTGGTCTCCTTCTCTAAGTCAGGGGCTTTGGGGGAGTTTAGACAGAGCAGCTTCTGCCCCCTGGACAACAACAACAACCAGATTTTACATTGATTGATGGGTGCCTGAGGCTGATAGGGAGGAGGCCTGCTGTCTTAGTGGTTACACAATGGGCTGCTAACTGCAAGATCAGCTGCTCAAAACCACCCCTGGGGGCTCACTTACAGCGTGATCAGTCTCCACAGACACCAATAGCAAGGTGTGCAGTCAACTCTTTCCCCTTGAACCTGAGACAGGTGCTGTCCTCTTCCATGCCGGCCCCAGAGGCCAGAGGTGCTGGTGCCTGCCACTCTGTCTCCCAACATGCTCAGGTCCCTCATGGAGCCAGGAGTTGTAAGACTGTCATTTCTTGAGGAAGAGATGAGAGTCCTACCTGTGACCCGGAGTGCCTTGGGAGGCAAGGTGGGGCTGGAGAGCCAGGGCCTGGGGGAGACTCCAGGCTGGAGCAGGGGCTGGGTATGAGGATGGGGTGGGGGAGGATTGGGGCGAGGGTGCAGAGGAAGGGACTGGACACATACAACAACACTTGAGGCAGCTGCAAAATCCCCCCTGGGGACTACAAGGCAGCCACTAACCCGCTGAGCCTGTGTGCACCCGGTGACAATGACTATTCTAGAAACTTTCCCAGAGGCCCGTTGACCTAGAGCTGTGACCATGACACAACAAAGCAGAGCAGAAAGGGAGAACCTTCCCAGAAGGCTCTCCTTCAGGTGGTGCATCAGTCCTCCTTGCTGCCAGCCATCTCAGGAAGCTGAAAACCATACCCACGTCTGACACAACTTAGGGTCTGGAGTCAGCCCTGGCTGCCCCAGGGCCCCAGCCGGAGGGGCAGCAGCCAATGAAAGGATGCCTTTTCTTGGCTCGGAGGCCGGCAAGTCCCTGCCCGGTCAGTTTCCTAGGAGCTCAGACTTGTCTCTAGACCATGCGGCCGGGACAAAGCCGAGCAGGGCGCTGGAACCGCCCTCTGCCTTGGGAATCTTCTTTGGGAATCTTAAACGTCTGAAGAATGGTGCAATGGAGAACTGCTTCCCAGGCCACCCAGTTCCCTTCCGAGGCCAGGGAGGAAGGGACCAGGGCTGGGCCTGACCTGTGGGAAGCCAGCACGGCCCTGCTCATGGCCAGATTCAGAAACTGCCACTGACATTTAGCCGTCCTTTATAGAGCTGTTCAAGGACTTCACAGACGGGTGTTTACCAGTTATAAGCACCTTTAGTGAGGTCCTTCCCGACAATACCAACCACACCCTGTGTCATCCTCGTTCGGTGACACGGAGCCGGTTCTGACCCATAGTGGCCCCATGCACGACAGAACAAAACACTGGCTGGCCCTGCGCCAGCCTCACCAGTTTCTATGCCTGAGCCCGTTGCTGCAGCCACTGTGTCGATCGATCTCCTTGGGGCCATCCCACATACTGTATAGCTTTAAAAATTGTTTTAATCAGATAGGAAGGAAAACATCAACACCAACTTCAGGTGCTTGAGAGATGGGGATGGATTCGGAGGTCAGCCACGTGCAGGCATTGCCTGGTTACCCAATTGGAATTGACTTACGGGCAGTGGGCTTGCTTGGTTTGGGGTCCAGGCAACATTGGATGCGAACAGGAAGACCCAGCAGTTGGAACTCACAGCTCTGGAAGATGAGGCTCTTTCTCAGACGACTAATCCCCTGCCATTGCGTCAATTCTGACTCTATAGGACAGAGCAGAAACGCTCCCTAAGGTTTTGGAGACTGTAACTTTGTAGGGAGCAGTCTCCTTTCTCCCTTTGCAAAGGGTCCCTGAGAGTCAGGATGCAATCTACCACTGTGCGTTTGGCTCCATCGTTGTCGCATGGCGCCACCTTGTGGCCGACCTCTATGTGGCACCGTGCCCGTCTTGGAAAAATCAGCTCACTGTAAACCTGCGTAGGGATTCCCAGACTGTAAATCTTTACAGGAGCCCACAGCCTCATCTTTTGGTGGGTTTGAATCACTGACCTTGCAGTTATCAGTCCAAACACGCTTAAGCTTGCTATGAAGTGTCAGGAGCTTGGGAAACTTTTGTTAAGTCCCAAGTCCGCTCCAACCCAGCGACCCCTTAGGTACAACAGAACAAACCACCACACACCACCGGTCCTGTGGGATCCCAATTGTCTGAACCCATTGTTGCAGCCACTGTGCCCACACGTGCATGTGAGACGAGAACCCCAGGCACTCCTCAAAGTGACGGCCTTGCTTTTCAACCCTTGTACAGGGATCCTGTACAGCAGATCTAGCCAATGCAAATGCTTCACTTGATCTTCTGACTGCTTCCACGGGCATTGATCATGGATCCCAGCAAGATGAAATCCTTGACCACTGGAGTCTTCTGTTCATCACGTTACGGAATGGCCCAGTGGTGAGGCTGTCTTTACACCGAGTTGTAATCCCTATTGAAGGCTGCCACCCTGCTCTTCATGTGCAGGTGGCCTCAGCTTTCTACCTCAGGGCTAGTATTTAGTGGGCTTGAACCAATGACCTTATCGTTTAGCAGTGGAACACACCTAGGCTTGCGAGAAGTACCAGGACCTTTTAGAAACCGTTAGTTAAGCGGCTCACTTAACCAATGGAACAGCCATCAACGGGGTCACTTCAGTTGCAGGACCAGGAGCGGAGCCTAGGGGAGTCAGACTGTGCTCCCAACCCTGTCCTCTGTGTACCCTCCACCCCACCTTAAGACCCAGGGGTCTTCCTGTCAACATCACTAGACTTCTCACAGGCCTCTCCCGATTACAGCCACCCTACAGGGTAGGGTGGAACTGCCCCTGTACACTTCTGACTGTAGCCAGTCTTTTCAGGAATACAAGCTGGTCAGAGTGGTGGGTGGTTTAAACTGCCGACCTTCCACAGCAGCTGAGTTCTGCCCAAGTGGCCCTGCTTTGGAAGGCCTGCCCCAGGCTAACATCTGGGAATGTCCCAGACTGGCCAACTGTTGAATGGATGTTTGAATTTCAGTGTGGACAGACAATACTGTACAACGCTGCCTCAGAAGCTGTATAGCCACAATGCTTAGGGCAAGGTTGCATCCCACTTTCTTACTGGGGTCCATGGGTTACATGTTGGGCCGCCAAGGTTGGGAGTTCAAGAGCAACTGCTCCTCCTGGTAAAGATGAGGCCATCTCAAGATTTAGTTTCAGAAAAGCTGCGATTGATTGAATGGGAGTGAACTTGAGAATGCCCTTCCCCCAAGGCTGAGACTGTAATGTGCAGCAGCTGTGTGAAAGGCACGCAAGTGACTTCTCCCAGGGTGTGTGTGTGTGCTGTCTGAAGCCCGCCTTTACACACCTGGAAACCAGCTTGGCACAGCAGTCATAGGCACTGGAAAGGCCGAGGGCCAGGGCTACAAAGCAAGGTCCTGGCAGCTTTGCTGCCTGCCCAGGATCTGCACCCAAAGGCAGCGCACTCCCCTGAAATGAGGCAGTCCCAGAAGAGCAGCCTCTTCTACGGCTCGCCCCACAGGGCAGCATTCCTAACACTAGCTAAAAAAGGATGGCTGTAACTGTCGCCCATGGTGACCTGGTGGCAGTGACCATGTTTGGGGGCTGCTGTCAGGTCAGCACTTTGAAACCAGGCCTACCACGTGTCCCCACCAAGCACCCTGCCCCCGCTCCCACCAAACTCACCAAGACAAAAGGCATGGAAGATTAAAAAACTTTTTTATTATAGTTTGCATTAGCCAGCTGGGTTCATTTCAGCTCCTTCACTGCCAGACCTGTGGGGAAGGGGACAGAGTAAGCCGGAGCAGACCCTCTTTACTGGCAGTGCCTCGCACACACCAGACACCGAGGGTTTGCACCAACAATAAACATGCTCTTCGCAGACTTTATAAACCTGCCTCTGGCCAATGCCGCTCCCTTGAGGACCCTTCCCCACCCCACTCACCCACCGCAGGTAGGCAAACTGCAAGCCCCCCACCCACCCCCTGGTCTTGGGGCCCACCTGGGGGCAGAGACTGCTTCAGCTTCTCGGCCTTTTCCTTGTCGGTGATGACCAAAGTGTAGAGGTACCTGCTGCACCGCACCTTGAACTTCACGTTATCCTTGTTCTTCTTGATCTTGACAGCTGCCAAGAGACCAGAATGACCCACCACGCTGCATCGTAGAAACAAAGCCACCAACCTGGTTCACCTGCCGTCCACCTGATTTCTGCCAGTGACTACACTGCTCCCCCGCCCTGTGCGTCTCTATCCAGCCCCAACGAGGTCAAATTTTAATAGCCAGCCGACACCATAGCGTCTCTTAAAAATGAGGAACCTGCAGACCTGCCTTCCCTGTCTGCCTCCAAATCAGGCAAATCCACCCCACCCGGTACAGCAACATGTCTCAACCTGTGGCCGGTGACTCAGACTTGGCTGCTGGCAGGTCGCACCTTGGGGACCTTGACTTCCCACCCACCTCCCTCCTCAAAAACATTCCCAAGTTAGAAACAGCAGAAGGCTGGCTTCCCAAACAAGTAGGACAGACTCGTGGTGACCCTGCAGGGCAGAGAAGGACCCCTTTGGGTTCTGGGGCTGTGCAGTCCCTGGAGGACATCACGCTTAGCAAAATGGCAGGCAGCACGAGGGAGGGAGGCTCAACAGATGGATGCACTGACAGTGGCTGGGGCACAGGAACCACTGTGAGCATGGTGCAGGACCGGACGGGCTTTTGCTCTGTTGTGCACAGGGACTGCTATGAGTCAGAGCCAACCAGACAGCACCTAGCTGTTCTCCCATGGAAAGACATGTCTCTAACTGCCGACCCGCTGTGTAGCCCACGCCTCCAGGAGGCCCTAAGTGTGGTTTAACAGGTGGTTAAAGAGGGAACCCCAGGAGCCCCCGTGACCCTGTGGGATGAACAGGGCTGCTCGGACAAACCCCCCAGCTGCTCCGAAGGAGAAAACCAGCCTGTCTGCTCCCACAGGAGTCCAGCGGGGGAGCCGGCACGGGGTCAATATGGTCAGAAGTGGCTCCACAGCAGGGCACCCCCCATACAGCCCACCCTGCACCCAGAACCGCTCAAGGAGCGAGGTCAATCACAGGGTGCAGGCCTGTATCGGAGTCCGCCCAAGGCACAGGCTGTGTGGAATCCACTCAAACCAAGGGCTGCATGGCTTCCCCGGCCACCATGTTGACGTGGCTAGGTGAAGCCCCTCAGCCACGTGTGCAGTCTCTGAACAATGGGACCATCTTTCATTGAACCCCGACCTCCATGTGGCGAGGAGGCAGGATGTAGGTGAGATTCAACACCATTACCTGCACACAGAGAGAAGCGAGCACAGCCCTGAGCACAGGACAGCCTCCAAGGATAGATAAAGACCTCCCCCCAGACCATGACCCCAAACCCGAGGGACTGCGTGTATTTCAGCCAGTGGTCACGCATCTACTAGCTGCCTGAAGCCCCCAGCTGCTCTGCGGAAGGGCTTTCTAGCTCGCCCCACAGGGTAGCCATGCTAAGTTGGTTCCTTAGGTGACAGGCACTACTGCAGCCTAACTAGCCAAGGGCAGAGCCAGGCACACTCATCGTGATCAGACTGAAGCGGACACCCCTCATCTCTGTACAGCGGGGTCACTCACACACCCGTTAGGACACTTGTGACAGTGCCACCAGATGCCATGCGTACCATCAGTGGGGACCACCCACGATGATGCCCCTCTTTTATACCCCCTGAATGGCTTATGAGGGGGCCTTGGGGTTGTTTGAAGCGTTCCAGACCACCGGGCTGGGAACTCATAGGGCAGCGCGGCCTGCGCTAGAGGGTCACGTGAGCCAGCTGACTCCAGGGCGGTGCGTTGGAGGTTGATGTTCAACTGCTCCCAGGGCCTGCCGCACACTGTGGTGCCACCACTGGCACAGAGCATTAGAAATGGCTGGTGTCTCAGCCAGACCCCGGCACCAGGGATTTCAGAAAGTTCCCGAAATATCCCATTATTGGAAGGTGGGGTAGAAAGGGGGAACCCATTACAAGGATCTACATACAACCTCCTCCCTGGGGGACAGACAACAGAAAAATGGGTGAAGGGAGATGTCGGTCGGACAGTGTAAGATATGACAAACTAATAAAATTTATAAGTCATCAAAGCTTCATGAGGGAGGAGGGGAAAAATGAGCTGATACCAAGGGCTCAAGTAGAAAGCAAGTATTTTGAGAATGACAAGGCAACAAATGTACAAATGTGCTTGACACAATGGATGTACTATGGACTGTGATAAGAATTCTGTGAGCCCCCAATAAAACAACAACAACAAAAAAATCCCATTATCTTCCAATTCCATTGTGGGAGGCTCTGGGCTGCTGTCCCACACCGCCTTTCATCTAGCCCCCCTGTGTTCAGGACAAAGTGGCAGGAAGAGAATGGGCCTGAGTGGTGCTGGGGCGGCAGAGGCAGGGAGCGGCAAGCCACAAGGACCAAAGCTGTGTCTCACGGAAAAGCAGGCAAACCTCCTTGAACCGATGCCCACACAGCCCTGCACAGGCCCTCAGCTGGCCACCTGCTGTGTTATAGTCTGAACCCAAACCACACAAAATCACCCAGACCGTGGTTCATCAGGGAGACCACAGCACCACACCAGCTTTTAGCGGAGCCCTGGCAGAACAGTAGTCACCGTCCGGCCGCTAAACACCAAGGCCATCAGTTTGAAACCACCAGCTGACCCAAGGGAGAAAAGACAGGGCTTTCTGCTCCCATAGCCTCAGTCCTGGAAACCCACGGAGGCAGATTGGCTTGGTTGCTCAGACTCCCTGCCACTTGTGCAGAGCACACCTACTGTGCACACACGCAGAACGGCCTTCCAGAATCTCACAGCAGCAATGGCTCTCCAGGGAACTCTTCCCGCGACCTGCCGCTGGCCAGGCAGGCTTATGTGCCTGGGGTCTGAGCTAACTGCTCCGACAGCCCCCCTCCCCAGGTGGACCTGCAGGCCCCCTTACACTTGGCGTCCTTTCGCCGCGCGGTGAGCAGGAAGTCCTTGATCTCTTCAATTTTGCGAGGCTGCAAGAGAACGGACACCGCACAAGAAATGGTTGGAGAACTGCCTTTCAATAAAGACAAATTAAGTCCCTCCTTCGGAGCAGCTCCAGACAGCAGAAAAGTGGGGGGGCAGGAAAGCAGTCTCCCGCCCGCTCCGGCCCCGCGTGGCCGTTTGAGACAACAGTGGGTCCCAACTCAGTGGCCTTCCCTGCGGCAGAAAGGGGCGCCCGTCGTTAGACGAGTCAGTGTCCACACGTGCATTAACCGCCAAGCCTTGCTCCGTTTACTTCGGCGGCCGCCCTTTGCTGCAGCCCCGGGTTTTGTCCGCACCCCCAATGACTGACCACGCGGAAGCGTCGGACTGCCCCCGGAGCCCCCTCCCCGGGCCACCACCTCGGCCGACGCGCACGTTCGGGGATCCGTGCCGCTGGCCTCGCTAGGACACGCGTGGTGTTTGGCCACGGTAGCGCCGACCGCCCCTCTGGGGTCTCGGGGTACCCTGGGGACGCCCCCCGCGCCCCCTCCCTAGGGAAGGTTCCCGACCCGGGTCGTACTCACCATGGCGACGAGGCGCGGACCGGCACCTGGGGGGGGAAGACATTCCTTGGCATTAACAGGGCTCAGGGACAGACGATGACCCCGCCTCCCTCCATATACCAGCCCCGCGGCACCCCAAGTTCTCTCCCCCTACCCTCGATCGAACCCCAGGGCCCCCGAGTTTCGCCCGGCAGAGGATTGCCCCGGATTAGACCCGCTTCCCCACGTACCGGCCGGGACACTTACAGCAAGCCGCCAGAAGCGAAGAGGGCGGAAGAGGCCGGGACTTCCGCTTCCGCTCCGTTAAGCCCTCCCGCGGAGGACACGGGCTACGGCCTCCGCCTTGGGTCAAGATTCATCCAGGCGTTCGTCCGTTTTAGCACGACTGCCCTCTCCTGGTCCAGACGACTGACTGCAGCTCCACAAACTGGCCCCTGCTTCCTCTTGGCTCCCTCGTCCTTTCCCTCCTCTGTCCCCTTCCCCATCCCCCCCTCTCCTTTCCCTAAATCTCCCCAGCGCGTCTTCGCTCCGATTCAAGGAACCCTAATGGGGCAGTGAGTTCTGCTACTAAGGTGACCAGATGTAAAGTGGGACACCATTGACCGGGGGGCGCGCGGGGAGGGGGGTGTCCTTGATTTAAAATGTGGTCTATAGGGACCAAATAGACCGTTCCCTAGCTTGTCGTGCATTCTTTCCAAAAATGGGGACTGTCCCGCCAAAAGCGGGACGTCTGGTCACCTTATGCTAACCTCAAGGTCAGCAGTTGAACCCACCAGGTGCTTCGCCTGGGGAGGGAGGAGGCTGCCTGTCCACTCCTGTAAAGAGTTTCAGTCCCGAAGGCCCACAGGGCCAGTTCTCTAACCTCGCTAGGAGTCCCAATCGCCTCGATGGCAGTGAGTTTGGGTTTTTGGTTTGTTTGAATTCTGATTCAGCCGAGTGGACAGTGTTAGGTGTCATGAAAGAACATTCTCATTTATTTGAAGAACCTTCTAGGGCAGCGTTTCTCAACATTCCTCATGCTGCCACCCTTTCATACAGTTCCCCCTGTGGTGGTGACCCCCAACCATAAAATTATTGTCCTTGTTACTTCATCACTGTCATTTTGCTACGGTTAGGAATCGGGCGACCCCTGTGGATAAGTCATGCGACTCCCAAAGGGGTGGCGACCCACAGGTTGAGAACCACTGCTCTATGTCCTGTTGGCTGCCCTTTGTGGCGTCCCTCACCTCTCTTTCTGGTTTCTTGACCGGCAGTTATGGGCCATGCCCAACAGGCCCTCCGGCTTGCCCGCCCCCCCGCCCCTCCACACTTCTGACCCCTTTAAGAAGTCTTGTTAAGTGACATCGAGTCGGGTCCAACCCATGGCATCCCTCTCTGTGCCCAACACGGCCCTGTGCTCGCCATCCCCACAGCTGTGCCTGCGCTTGCGCCTGTAGTTGCAGCTCCTTGAGGGCCGTCCTCTGTGTCGCTGCCCCTCTGCTGTACCAAGCATGATGTCCTTCTCCAGGGACTGCTCTCTCCTGACAGCACGTCCCAAGTACATGAGACAAAGTCTCCCAATCCTTGCCTCTAAGGAGCTCCCTGGCCGCGCTTCTTCCAAGACAGGCTTATTTGTTCTTTGGGCGCTCCATGGTCCGTTTGATCGGTTCATCAGCACCACACTTCAAGTGCATCGTTTCTCCTTCAGGCGTCCGTATTCAATATCCAACTTCCACATGCGTAGGAGGCGACTGAACATCCTCTGGCTGAGGTCAGGTGCACCTCATTCCTCAAGGTAACATCCTTGCGTTTCAGTACTTCAAAGAGGCCTGTATAGCAGATGGACCCAGTGCAACGTGTCCTTTGATCTCCTGACTGCGGCTTCCAGGAGCACCAAGGGTGGATCCCAGCAAGACAAAATCCTTGACCACGTCAACCTTGTCTCCACCAATCGTGATGTTTCCTGTTGGCCCAGTGGTGAGGGCTTGGGTCTCCTTCCTGCTGAATTGTATGCCAAAGACAACTCCCAACTGCCGGCTGGCACTGTGCGGGGCATGGTCCGCTTGTGGGCCCTGAGCTAAGTGCTTCACCCACGTGACTTCCTCTAGCCCTCAGGCAGGCCTGAACAAGGACGTGCCATGGTGACCGCTCTACCCGCTCTGCACACTGTCCAGACCCAGGCCTGGGAGAGGTGACGGTAGGACGGGAGCCCAGGTTGGTCTTCAGGAGGCTTCCGGACAGACAGCCAGGCCTTCACAGTACAAGCTGGCCAGCTACTGGAAGACCCTTCGCAGTGTCTACCCATCCTCATCTGCTCGTAGTTCCTTGAGCCCATAGATGAAGGCAGATCTTTCCAGGGAGCCTTCGGAAAGCCTGTGGATATTGGTTGTATTTTTTATCCTTCCCTTTCCTTTTATTTTATTTTTTATTTTTTGTTTTTTTCTTTGTGAGAGAGTGAGTGAGTGAGTGAGTGAGTGAGTAAGTGAATGAGAGAGAGTGAGTGATTGAGTGAATGAGAGAGAGGGAGAGAGTGAGTCAGTGAATGAGAGTGAGTGAGTGAGAGTGAGTGAGTGAGTCTCATTTTATTTTTAACTGCTGTCCCAATGCCTATATTTTATTATATCCTTGAATTTAATAACTGCAAATTTAATCATTCCACTCAAACCAAAACCAAACTTAAAGCCGTCAAGCCTGGAAAACAGAGTCCGCCTGCCCCGCTGGGTACCCAAGGCCGTCCTCTTTCCAGAAGCAGACAGCAGCATTTTGTTCCCCTGTGGAGCCGCTGAGGGCAAACCGCTGACCTTTCAGTTCGTGGTCAGGTGCCTAACTCCTGCATCACCAGTGCTCGGTAACTACTCAACAGGGGGAAGTACTTTGAGCTTATAATTACAGAATGGTTCACAAGCCAGAGAGTCGTGCAGGCCCAAGCTCCTTCCTCTCTTCCTTCCATGAGTCAGGTGCAGGTTGAGCATCTTTGTGGGGGTGCTGGGGGGACAGGGAGGAAGAAACCAACTGCCCCTGCTCTCAGGGAGATCACAGACCCTGACTGTATTAGCATGTGTGTGATGTGAGCCATCAAGCTGGTTCTGACTCAGGGTGACCTTATGGGACAGGGCCATTCCTCCATCTCAGCACCCACCCACTCATCCACGCAGCCACCCCTCTTTCCCTGCTTCCCTCTACCCCCATTCAGCCATCCTTCCATCCTTCATCCATCTTTTCACCTTGCCCTCGCCCTCAACCTCCACCACCACCGCTTTCACTTCCACGTCCACAACCACCAATATAACGACCACCACCACCTTTACCTCCACCACTAACTCCACCTCCACCTCCAAAATCACCACCCCGGCAACTACCACCTCACTACCATCACCACCACCACCTCCACCAATCACTACCGTCACCACCACCACCTCCACCAATCACTACCATCACCACCTCCACCTCCACCAATCACTACCATCCCCACCACCACCTCCACCAATCACTACCATCCCCACCACCACCTCCACCAATCACTACCATCACCACCTCCACCTCCACCACCACCACCAATCACAACTACCACCACCTCCACCACCATGTTACCCTCAAGGTGTTGTTGGTGAAGAGATGGGAAGGATGCGTGGGAGACTAGGGAGCTGGAAGGATGGATGGCGGCTAGAGGTGGAGCACTGGGTGGATGGGTAAATAGCTGGATGGACGGATGAGGGAGGGGTGGATGAACTGATGGAGGGATGGATAGGTGGAGGGAGGGAGGGAGGGAGGGCTGGCTGGAGGCACAGATGGTGGGAGAGATGGAGGGAGAGGTAGTTGGAAGATGAGTGGAGGAAGAGAGGGATGAGGAAGGATGAATGGAGAAGCAGAGAGTTGGAAGGCTAGAGGGATGAATAGCCCCGAAGCAGTGCCTGGCACATAGTAGGTGCTCAAAAATCCCTCTTGCGTGAGTGCCTGGTACCTCTCCTCCCCATGTGGCACCGAAAGCCCGGGGGCTGGAGGTGGGAGAAGGAGGTGGCTGGGCCTCTTCTCCCTGTTGGCAGCGATCCAACGAAACAGATGTTCCCCCTCTTGAGCGGTACGATTTATGGGAACATCGGCGCAGAGGAACAACACATGAAGGGCCATTTGTTCAAGTTCTGAAGGTTTTCTCAGCTCCCCAAGGCAGGGAAGGTGGGGGGGTGTATGTTGGGGCGGGGGCTCAGTAAAATCAGGCGCCATTACTACAAGGGGGATGACATGGTAGGGGGTAGGGTGCTTCCAGTGCTTCATGGGAAGGCCAGCCAGGTCCTGCTGGGACATTCCAACAGAGGGGACTGCAGGCAGCGGGTGGGGCCCGACACTTGCCCAGGGAGACACAAACAAGTCTGGAGGGGGCTTGTCCTTCCAAGAGTGGCAGAAAGCAAACAGCCAAACGCACTGCCATCGAGTCGGAAGGCGCCAAAGGTAGAGAAGAAAAGGCAGGGGTGGGGCGGGGTGGGGGTGACAGCTAAAACCAAAGAAGGGTCTCTCCAAGCCTGTCCCCTGGGCCGTTTGCATCAGCATTACTTGCGGGCTCCCCCAGACTGACCACACGGCTTCTCTGAAAGAGGAGCCCAGGATGCTGCCTTGAGGTATGTCTCCCAGGAGGGTCCCTGCACTCTTGAGATGGGAAGCTCTCAAAGGGTTTAGAGGGTCCTGGTTGGAGAGGAAGGCTGTGGGCCTGGGTAGGTCCCTGTGGCCGTGAGGGGTGCTGCCCTGGCTGGACTCTGCAGGACTGGAGGCTTGGGGAAGGGTCAAGGTGACTGCCGTGGCCTGTGAGGCCGGTGAGGAATCTGTGGCAGGGTGGTCAGAGAGTGGAGGGGGCTGGCCACCGGCACTTCCTTCCAGCTCCGGGCGGGGCATCAAGGTGTCAGGCTGGTCCAGTGCTGCCTAGCAGAGACAGGCGAGGCACACAGCCCTCTCTGCCTCTGCGTTAGGCTGGCTCGACTAGAGAAACAAATTCATAGACACACATATGTGAGTAAGGAAGAGCTTAATGTCAAAGAGTAACTGTACATTAAGAAAACATCCCAGTCCTATCCAGATCAAGCCCATAAGTTCAATATGAACCCAGATGCCTGATACTAGTCCATAAATTCCTCTTTAGACTCACACAGCCATGCAATGCACTGAGTGCAGGAAGATCACAGGCCGGTGGGTGGAAAGTCTTGTGGCTCCAGTGGCGGTGGAAGCATCTCAGGGTGGCTGCT